CCCCCCCCCCCCCCCTTCATACTTCTCCTTTAATTAGGGAAAATTCAGAACTGAATTTTCATGAACACACACACTTGTGTGGCGCTGCTGGTTGTAAAATTTCTTCCTCCGCAGTCTTTAGCGTTCTGAACCGGTTTACAGGTTTTGTGGGTTACCAGTACTACATACAACAGTCAAAAGAGAGAAACCTGGACTTCCAAGATCCATTCTGGTCACAGCTACAGTCAGTCATCGGCATTGATTGCACCCAACTCTATACTAGTCACCCTGGGAACGAACTTTCAAATTGCAATCAAAGGATGAAAAGGAATCCGTTAGATGTGCACTGATTGGACAGCTTGGCTTCCTCAAATCTAATGGTTGTCATCACTCGGGTACCATGCTCCACATGGAATGAATGAAAGGAGAGAAGCCACAAATGTCACTGTCCTTCCCTACCAGCACTATGAATCTTGTTGGCAGGCTCAGCTGCAGCTCCGAGTGTCCAAATCTACACGAGAGACCATGTTTTGTGTATGTCGAGACAATGGGGTCGATTTGCTGGAAGTAGAATTGGCTGTACACTTTGCAATGGAATTTGCACTTTGTGGGGGAAGTTTCCCTGAGCTTGGTGAATTTTCACTTTGCAAAGAATACCCAAAATCACATGCAAGAAAAAAAAACCACCCAAAACAGTATTTTTTGCTTGCACACGATTGGGTGATGGAAGTCAGAGGAGCTTCACCCCGTGCAATAAGCTAAGGGGCAACTTCCCCCTACAAAGTGCAAATTCCCTTGCAAAGTGAACAACCTACTTGCCTTTAGTAAATCAACGTCATTGTGTGTGTGGGGCCGCGTTATCCTGAGGCAGCACACACAATGGAGAAATCCGTTAGCCCTTGGTTTGCCGGGGACACTGTACAGCAGTACATACAGGAAGTATCTGCAGCAACTACAGCAGTACATATGAGGACGTATCTGCAGCAACTACAGCAGCACATAGGAGAATGTATCTGCAGCAACTACAGCAGTACATAGGAGAATGTATCTGCAGCAACTACAGCAGCACATAGGAGAATGTATCTGCAGCAACTACAGCAGTACATACAGGAACGTATCTACAGCAACTACAGCAGTACATACAGGAACGTATCTGCAGCAACTACAGCAGTACATAGGAGGACGTATCTGCAGCAACTACAGCAGCACATAGGAGAATGTATCTGCAGCAACTACAGCAGTACATACAGGAACGTATCTGCAGCAACTACAGCAGTACATAGGAGGACGTATCTGCAGCAACTACAGCAGCACATAGGAGAATGTATCTGCAGCAACTACAGCAGCACATAGGAGAATGTATCTGCAGCAGTACATACAAGAACGTATCTGCAGCAACTACAGCATTACATAGGAGAAAGTATCTGCAGCAACTACAGCATTACAAAGGAGAATGTATCTGCAGCAACTACAGCAGCACATAGGAGGACGTATCTGCAGCAACTACAGCAGCACATAGGAGAATGTATCTGCAGCAGTACATACAAGAACGTATCTGCAGCAACTACAGCATTACATAGGAGAAAGTATCTGCAGCAACTACAGCATTACAAAGGAGAATGTATCTGCAGCAACTACAGCAGCACATAGGAGGACGTATCTGCAGCAACTACAGCAGCACATAGGAGAATGTATCTGCAGCAACTACAGCAGCACATAGGAGAATGTATCTGCAGCAGTACATACAAGAACGTATCTGCAGCAACTACAGCATTACATAGGAGAAAGTATCTGCAGCAACTACAGCATTACAAAGGAGAATGTATCTGCAGCAACTACAGCATTACAAAGGAGAATGTATCTGCAGCAACTACAGCAGTACATACTAGAACGTATCTGCAGCAACTACAGCAGTACATACTAGAACGTATCTGCAGCAACTACAGCAGTACATACTAGAACGTATCTGCAGCAACTATCTCCTTTCAGAATTTAAAGGAAGGCTTAATACAGAGCTGCACAACCAACATCCTTGAGGGATGAATAAAGACCAGAAATAGGGATGATAATCTGGGCTCGACCTGCTTTTCATTCTTGAAAGTTAAGAGAAATCCTCAAACTCCGAAGACCATGGCTCTTGAGCAGGCCAAATCTAAACACTACCAATTTTACCAACCCAAACATGTTATGATGACCAGCATCCAGCAGACCGTTCCCTGGAGATGCCAGTAACACCGTATGGAGTACAAATGACCACCACAGGGCATACAGGGATTATATCACACGTCTTACTTCTATAAGAGCCTTTAGTCTCTCCACACAGGCCGTCTGGGACGCTTGCAGCAGTTTCCAAATACTGAGTTCTTCTTCAAGTGTAACTTCGAGTAGGTCCCCTTCTAAGATCAGGTCTTCTAACAGTGCTCGAGAACCGATGGACATCTCCAGAAGTGGAGCCCTTTCAATTTGAGGGAGGAGAGCGGCCATGGCATCCAGATCTTCACCGTGATGGAAAGACGACTAGTTAGTACACGCATTTAGCGCCGGGCATGCGCAGGAACACAACAGGTAAGGGTTACATTACCTGGCATTGCAGTGCCATTCTCCAAGTGCGAGTCTCCATTCTCATGGGGAAGCTGCCAACAGAAAAAGCCACATGGAGAATGAATACACAAGTTGTTGCATTACGTTATAACCCAGAATATGGTCCACAGCAGAGGAGTGCAAACCTATAGGCGCTTCTGAGGTCTATAACAATCACACTGCTGGTTACACGTTGGCACACAAATGTGCACGGCAGTATCCTTGCCAAGCTCTTCCAAGGCTGGGAACTCCGACTACCCATCCCTTCATACTGACCACCAATGGATGAATGACCATGCCTCATCGGCCAAAGAACTGCACCAACAATGGTCTCTAGGGGTGCAGACGTCCAATTCAGACACTAAAAGTACGTCTAAACCCAAAAGAACAAGAATGAAATCTAGTGCGACTCACCAGTCCTTGGATGTGGTGGCTGCATTTGTTTTTTTTAAACCAAGTACATTTTCTTCGAGCGCAGAAAAGATTCTGGCCGCTGCTTGAAATCTTGTCTATGCAACTTACTGTGTACTGGAACTGAAATCTAAAAACAATGTTATCAGTAGGGATGCACCGATAACATTTTTTCGGTATCGAGTACGGAGTACCGATATTTTTTCCCCGCTACTCGCCGATACCGAATACGGGTAGTCCCATTAAGGAATCCAGGCGGCTCGTAATGACTCGCCACCTGGCTTCCTGATTAGCCGGGAAGCTGGGTGGCGTGTAAGGACTTTCCACCCGGCTTCCCGATTAGCATGGAAGCCCGTCTCCATACTCCCTCGTCACCAAGTGACGAGGAAGCATGGAGCCCGCTTTCTGGCCAATCAGGAGGCCAGAGAATGACTTGCCATCTGGCTTCCTGATTGGCCAGCTTCCCAACCAAACAGGAAGCTAGGCGGCGAGTCAATGCATGCTGCCCGGCTTCCTGATTGGCCGGGAAGCCAAGTGACGAGGGAGCATAGAGATGGCTTCCCGGCCAATCAGGAAGCCGGGCAGCATGTGATGACTCGCTGCCCGGCTTCCTAAAACCGGAAGCTCGGGTATCGGAGCTTTTGAGCGAGTACAAGTACTCGCCCAAATACTCCGTATCGGCACATCCCTAGTTATCAGCATCCCCAGCCATCTTCTTCGTACTACAAAACAACTTCCTACTATGTAACACAGATGCGGTGGGGGTGTTGTGAATCTGGTCTGCAGCACAGCCACCCAGTTACCTAACCTCACTGGATGGCAGTAAATCAGATCTTGCTACTTCTAGTGCGAGCGGTGCCCCGGCTATCAGATACTTCCACGTGTGCCGGTGTGTTTGTGCACCGGGCACTGCAGTTCCTGCACACCACAGGGGCCAGGGCGGAGGAACCACGGTGCTCATCAGTGGACATACACTCAAGACACACCCGTCATTACACAGCCAATGGGTAGTGTTCACCTCATCCACGCAGCGCCATGGGTACCAGAAGTCGTCCAGAAAATGAATGGATCTGGCATGTCACGTGACCAAACAATAAGGTGTGGAAAAAGCCTTCCAGCAGAGTCTTATTTTTAGTTAAGCAATTAGAGAGGGAGCAGGTATGGCCAGAGATCATCTCTAATCCCACCCCTGCGCACCACAGGGGTGCCACTGATAACTATGAACCTACAATGAGCAGGCAAGTGAAAACACAAAGCTTCAAAGTGCATATTTCAAGAGTAAGTAGCAGTTCTGCTCAGTGTTCTCCTTTCAGTTACTTACAGGAGTCTGCTCATTGCAGGTCGTCTCTCTCAGTGCCTGAGGGTCTTTGTGGTGTTGCAACTTCTGCCTTTTCTCCAACAAAGTTGCTGCGCCGGCTGATATTTCCGGGGTGGCCAGGACCCTGCGCGCTCGATCTTGCCAGCTCATCGCCCTTTCCGTTAAACACTGCAGCGCCTCCCCCTCCGGCAACCGTACGGGCAGTTTCTGCAGAGCAACCAACAGAGACAGGATGGTCTGCAGCCGAGGGCGGCGTGACCGTACGCACAGCGGACACAGGAAGTGACTGTCCCATTCCCACCAGGTCGGAGGAGGGGAGGAGTGTGTACCACGATGAGAAGTCAGTCTGGGGGTGGGGACGCACGGCCCATGAAATAAGTCCTGGCATAGGTCGCAGCGAAGCATTAGTTCTCCCGGAGGCTCCCCGCATACACAAGTACAACGTCTCTCGTTGGAAGAATTCATGGTCCGTAACCTCAGAATGCCAGCTTTCTCCTTCTGCTCGCCTTCTTTAAATGCCAACACCTGACAGACAGACAAACATGGTTAGTTAAGTCGCGTAAGCTTTGCTTTCTGCTTATCCTGCGTGTACTGTACTCACTATGCAGCCAGGGTCTCGAAGGTCCTGCGCAGACAGCCCCAGACTCTCTAGGTCTGATCGATACAAACCCCGTTCCTTCTCCTTCCTCAACTGAGACCTTTTCCCATTGCTTGAGGAAACATCTGCACTTGGGCACAGCACCTACAAAATTGGCAATTGGGAAAAACATTTAGGTCAGTAGAAACATCTGTACACAAAAACCCGGGATCCCTCAGCCTTTGGTGAAGGAGAAGGCAGGTCTAAAAGGCGCCAATACTTTTTTTTTTTTTTTTTAAAGATTGCTTATTAAAAACTTTTTGAGTTTTCAATAGTAAAAAAAAACCAATACAAAAGTACACAAAAAGACATGGAGCATATAAACCAAGGGCCAAAGGGCCTACGCCATTTCCTTCTCAAGGCACTATACACTGAGTATCCGGATTATTATATACGATGTAACAGCCTCTGAACGCGGGATGATTGTTGGCGCTCGGAGCCATGGAGCGAGTATCAGCAAAACAGCAGAATTCGTTACATGTTCAGGAGCGGCTCATTGTTAAAGTGTTTAAAGACCGGACTGTCAGCCGAAAATCTGGGTCTGAGCGTGTGAATTGTGGCCGTCAGCGACTAGTCAATGTTAGGGCAGAACGGGGGAGGGGCAAGACTGGTGAACCCGGGAGCACAGACAGGAGAGCCACCTGTGGGGATCTGTCCACCTTGGTGTGAAGAAGCTGGTCATACATATCAAAAATAACGTTCCAGAATGGGGTCAACAGCGGGCAGGACCACCAGATATGGAACATCGTCCCATGGTGGGACAGGCCGCCAAGACTTTTAATGAATGCTTGGTTCAATGAGTATTAGCTTAAAAGGTAAAGTAAAAAAAAAAAAATCCCTAAATACCTAATGCGAATAAAATATTAAAGTCGGTACCTCTAACAGGGTGAAGCACGAGTTCTTCTTCAGGAAGGTCTTGGTCGCTTTGTCCCTCCAGGAGTGCGCAGCAGTCACTTGGACCTCCAGCTGATGTAGCTCCTCCATTTTCACGGGCAAGTCCCGACCCACAGCCACCAGCCCTTCCAAGTCATCCAGGCAAGGGTAATGATCCCCACTCTACAAAAAGTAATCATACAATACATGTCTGAAAGTCGTGAAATCAGAAACTTCCGGACAAACACTGGACAACAGGATGCCTCATTCTTCAGCAGATTTGTGATCTGTCGGCAAACATGCAACCACGACATCCGAGACAGGCAAAGCTTTGAAAAGGGCGAGCACCACAAGATCTGATGACATGCTATGACATGGAAGCCACCTCTAAATACAAAAACATAACTTTATGCTCCAACCACCTCCACCCCCCCCCACTCCCCCTGTCTTGTATTGACCTGGCCCCAACCCAGCAACATTTGGCTTACTAGATTACAGAGCCTCTTGTCAAAATCTTCTCTGCCAGGCCACGTGGTGCTCTGCACTCTCCATTCACTACTATGAAGTCCAAAACATGAGCTCCTACTAGAAAAGCCCTAGGCATAAGCAGGGGTGCAGCCCGTACCACTTATATAACCGGCTGTAGGGCCTACTGTACAGCCAACATGTGCTTTCTATATGAAGGGCAAAGCAAAAAAGGTAAATAACTCCTTCCCCAGCAGTATAAACCTTCCTATGCACTCCCATTGCTTCTTTTAGCTGTACGCAAGGCTGAGGACACTCCCTGCACCGTGACAGTGCTGAGCCCGACACCAATATATACCCATCGACCATCACTCAAGGCTCAGCCTAGCTGCTGATTTTGGAATGTGTAGCAGTGTAGATGTGAACTCAGGTAGACCCACGGATTGAATGTCAGTGGCCAAGTGACCCTCATCTCCTACCCTCAGCCATGGTTGAGTCCAAATTGCCACAGTAGGACCAAGCCTGAAGGGGTGGCAGCTAAGCCTATGAACCCCGAACGGCATGCTAGGACAGCCAGGGACGATGTATAAATAGTATAGGAAATACTTTACATGCAATTTATTTTTATCAGATGGTGGGATATAATGCTCTGTATGGGTGATGGTAAAAACTAGGGATGCACCGATACCGGTATTTCAGTACCGATATTTATTTTTTCGGTACTCGCCGATACCGAATAACAAAAATCCCATTCAGAAAGCCAGGCCGCGTGTAATGACTCTCCACCTGGCTTCCTGATTAGCCGGGAAGCGTGTAAAGACTCACCACCCGGCATCCCAATTAGCAAGGAAGCAATCTCCATGATTCTCGTCACTATGCGACGAGAAAGCATGGAGCAGGCTTACTGGCCAATCATGGAAGCCGGGTGGCGAGTCATTACATGCCGCCTGGTGTCATTACATTACATGGCGCCAGGCTTCCTGATTGGCTGGGAAGCCAGCTCCATGCTCTCTCGTCACAAGTGACGCGCTGCCCGGCTTCCTAATACAGGAAGTATCGGAGCATTTGGGTGAGTACGAGTACTTGCCCAAATACTCGGTATCGGTGCATCCCTAGTAAAAACTGTATCGGTGTTGGCCTACCTGTATTTCATCCACATCAGCGCTCCAGGCTCTGGCCTTACAAAGGGCTTCTTTCAGGCTTAGCGTATTAGGAAGCTGCACCGGGATGTTTTCGGCTTCTTTAATGATTGCCTCTAGTGTTGCAGGCGGATGCTTATGTCTAAAAAAAGGAAGGCGGAGTTAAACCAGGTGGATCCTCTAATAAACGGTTCAGTTCAAGCCCAAGTCTGCTCACCTGGCCTCTAAACACATCTGAGCCTTCTCTTCCCAGCGCAGAGCGATGGCGATAAGTTCCTGCAGTTCGCTGCGAGCTTTCTCCACTGCAGGGCTCTCGGCCACCTCAACAGCTTCTTGTAGCAGAGAACGTAATTTCTGAAGGGTGCCCGACCTCCCGGCAACAAGAGCCGCCCGCACGCGCGATAACCACTCCCCTTGGCGCATGTGCCGCTCCAGCTGCTCGGCTTCAGGTGGGAGCACTCCTAGAGCCTGGCAGCGTTCCACCATGTCCTGCATCTGGGGGCCGCTATCTGGCAGAGACTGCAAACACTTCTTGGCCTCTTCTTGCAGGACTTCTGCCTTTTCCAAAAGGTCCTAACGGGAGAGCAAGGAGAAAAATACAATTATTCATGACCACTCTTCTTTTCTGCTGCTGATTTCCTCTGTAATTAAGAGAAACTGCTGCCCATGTTATCATCAGAATCGGACAGTTCTGGGAGTATCAGGTGTTCAGTCCCCTACTGGCCCCTGCTGATAGCCCTATGTCATTACAGGACACAGTATTTATGTTGGGGCTGGCGGGAGGAAACCGGAATCAGACACTCCCAGTTACATAGGGGCTGGCGGGAGGAAACCGGAATCCGACACCTAGTTACATAGGGGCTGGCGGGAGGAAACCGGAATCAGACACTCCCAGTTACGTAGGGGCTGGCGGGAGGAAACCGGAATCCGACACCTAGTTACATAGGGGCTGGCGGGAGGAA